CCCCAAAACCCCAAAACCCCAAAACCCCAAAACCCCGGCTTATATATTTTTAATAGAATTTTATATTACTACCTGCATTCTTTTATATTCAAGATTATAAGTTTTATAGGCTCTAACTCTAAATTTTATCAGAAAACTTCTAGGAAATAGACTAACTAAAGATAAAATATTGATTTTAAAGAAGATGAACAACAAGTATAGGTATTCTTAAAAATGAAAGTAAAAACACTATTATAAATATGAAGTAAGCCAAACAATCATATTTAATGCCTGGATACTTTCAGTAAAATCATTATTGAGCAAATGCCTCCTCTCCTTCCAAACTACTTAGAATATCATATCTGTTAATAAAAAAATGAATTCTTCATCGACAAAATCAAAATCTTTCGGGTGTAGGAATCGATCCAGATTTCTTTGATTTAAACCTACTTAAAGTCTTTGAGGTATTCCCAAAAGTGCATACATTAATCAGAATACCCCATTACTTAAGCATTTGTTCTATTTACTTTTTGCCCTGGCTTCCGCTTCTAAAACAATACATTTGAATGACTTACACTTGTAAAATATGAACTTCTAATGACCCCGCTGAAACCACTCAAGGTTTCTAAATTACCTACTGTTGAGATCCTTGGGATCAATATAAGCTAATTATTGAAACTGTCTTAGAGTTGTGTAATTTGAGTAAGAGCATGGTAAATACTCTCCTAATTTTCCATGCAAAGTTTAATTTATCTTTTTATAATCAATAATTACAATACAAAGTAGGACTTTAATTCATAGATCTAACCCTCTTGCCAACTCAAGATCTGCTTCTCAAATGAAAAAAAGAAGCCTGACTCCCTTCCAAGAAATGTAATTTGTTTTTACTTTCAGTCAAAAATTAAAAAGTAATCATTTGATGCCAGGTAAATTTCACCATTATGAATAATCCCTTACATTATTAAGCATTCAAAAGATTGAAAAATTAAGAAAAAGGCAATGAAAACTCGTAATTTGGGTACAATGTCTCCCTTCCAGATCCAAGCTAAAAGTTTGCAGTCCATACATGAATATTACTGCACTGGTCATGGTATTCTCTTGTATTTATTTTAGACCCTAATATTATGAACCAGGATTTGTATTGAGTTGAAACTCCATTGACATTTAAGTAAGTCACCCACAGCGGCAATATGCCCAAATGCTAACCTTTACAAAAATAGGGAACAGATGGAATCGTTAAAATTTAACACTCAGACACAGAAGAAGATGAAGACTCTGAATAAAAGTGGGCTGACACTTTCAAGTTTGTTACAACTCAAATCCCCAGGGGTCAAATCGTTCAGTAAATAAGATTCAATTGAGAGACAAGTTCTTTTGGAGGAAATTGATGAGAAAAACACCAAATAATAGATTGAGGCTCAGAAGAAATAATACAGGGTTTAATAGAAATTTGTATCAGAATGTTAACAAACAAGGCAAGCTCAAGAGTATTATTGAGCTCAATAAAATGAAGTATAAGCGTGATGTAAGGGTTTTAATTTAGATGTAGAATTATAAAGTTGACCCTAAGTTATTGATCAAACAATCCCAGCTTTTTCAAAAGAAGTAAGCTGATTTAAGATATCTAAATTTTACAGAAGAAAGAAACCTTTAAGGAAGATAATTAATATGAGCGGTAAAAAGGTATGGACGCTACTAACAAGCATAGATTAACACTGACCTCCAAATTTTTGAAATATAATAAGTGTTTTCAACAATAATTGTAATTAATGGGGTTTTGGGGTTTTGGGGTTTTGGGGTTTTGGGGTTTTGGGG